TATATATATATATATATATATATATATATATATATATATATATATATATATATATATATATATATATATATATATATATATATATATATATATATATAAAATCTTGGCTTTGTCACTGGACTAAAAAGGAAAGAATACCATATAAATTAGGGCAGCATGACTTCGTAACTATCTGGAACAGACTAAAAAGGAAAGAATACCATATAAATAAAGGCCGATGTCCCATCTTTATTGGAACTCCAAAAGTTTTATCCGGTACTCCTATGTGTGCGTTGAGAGTTATTTAAGCCTGCCGGTTAATATGCCTTAATTCGTTGGTCGTCTCTGATTCTTAGTCCCTTAATTTAATTTCCAGCATAGCAACAATTAACATGAGATGTTTACTGTTCGTTTACATGGACTTTAGTAATGGAGTTTGCTTTTACCTGATTTGCTACTAGTGTGTTATACTTATGGCAAGAGTGTAGAGTAATATATTTTGATCTCTCCACTTATCTCATCCACTTTGTATAGTTGTATTATCGAACATACGTTGTTTCTCTCCTTTTTCCTTAATTTTGCTTGAAGAATCTATAGAAAATATTCACTTGGTTTATAAAAAATGTCAAAAAGGTGAACCTATAAAAAATTGTTTAAAAATTTATGCGCACATAGTAACTTCTACTATTTCTTAGGAGTATTTAATTAGTTATTTTAAGTGGACTAGATGTATAGTCATTGTGGAAACTAAACTTTCTTCACCAAGCATTATGGTGAGATCGATGGGATCCCTCCATACTTAATTAGAAGTTTCGAATTGGTAGGAAGCACTTTTCCCTTTAATGGACCTTACAAACAAGAATTCGAATTAATCGAGGCCCCAATAAAAATATCGAATACCGATCGAGTGGAAACCATAAACCAAACTATTATCCTTTGTTCATTTTTAGCTCAGCAAGTATATTTTCGGGTAATGATAGTAGTGAAGGTGTTCTTTGACATTCCTTAGTGATAGTAACTTCTTCCGCAAACTCTTGTTTTTTAACCTACGTACCATCACTTTTTTGTATTCACAATGCATTGTCTGTATTATTCTCTGTATTTCTTTTAACTAATGTTTTTTTTGTTGGATTACCTATGAAAGCATATATATACCCACTAGTAAAGGTAATTTCAAGGAAAGCATAAGTTTCTTAATTAAGAGACTTGTACGATTTCAGTGAATACAATATATGAGCACACTGACATTTGAAAACATTTTGGCAGGTAACAGCTACTCTTCAAAATGGAATCCATTGCAAGATCCAACAGTCTTAAGTACGAGTGCCTGCTGTTTGGTATGCATGACTACTGTAACTCAACTAATTAGTAGACTGTCAAACACATGTATATTGTAGATCTCATTTATTCATTAATTATTATACAAAATACATTAATTATCGCTAAAGATTTTTCTTCTTCTTTAAAATGTATATATTTTTTCCAGATATTGATGACACTTTGTATCCGCTGAGCTCAGGTCTCAACTTAGCTTGTCGCAAAAATATAGAAGGTATAGTTTCCCTTGTCATGTGCAGTTAAGTATATATATGAATAACCAATATATAATTAATTGTTGGCTTATTAATTAACATTTCATTCTAGAGTTTATGTTGCATTACCTGGATATTGAAGAAACCCAAGTGCCAAAGATGTGCTTGGAACTATATAGGGAGCACGGGACAACAATGGCTGGCTTGAAGGTTAATTATACACTACATATCATACTATTTAGGAAGTAAAATGGTTAATGTTCCTTTGACTGCAATTTTTTCAAACGCTAGCTTAGTAAGTATTTTGAATTATATATTAACAATCTAAGTTTTGATTCTTCTCACCTAATTAATTATCAAATATGTTACCACATGGTATTTGCAGGAGCTAGGATACGAATTTGACAACGATAAATTTCATGGTTTTGTGCATGGAAGATTGCCGTACGATGAAGTGCTAAAACCTGATCCACTGCTGAGGAACCTCCTCCTTTCCATGCCACAGCGCAAAATAGTAAGTAATTAATCCGATAATTACCAACAGTTTAATTTAATTAGCGATTGGTGGTCAGTTGAACATTAATGGTTGATATAGATTTTCACAAACGGGGATAAAGCGCATGCCATTCGAGTCCTCAGTAAGATGGGCTTGGCAGATTGTTTTGAAGGTATTATATGCTTCGAGACTCTGAATCCTCCCCGGCCAGAAGATAATTATGAGGATCAAGTTTCAAAACAAAGCCAGGCCGAACAAGTTGCTATACCTCGCATCTTATGTAAGCCTTCGCTCCAAGCAATGGAGGCTGCTATTCGAATTGCAAACCTTGATCCAAACAAAACTGTAATATACTCATCTCTCTACTTATAATTACCTCTCATGCATCTGCCTACTTAACTAACTCAAACTATACTCTGTGTATATATATATAGGCTAAATATTACTCGCTCTATTTTAATTTAGATGATGTAGTTTGGCTTGATACAAAGTTAATAAAAACTTTTGATCTTAAAAGGCTTTGTGGGACCATGATATTTTTGTGACTATAAAAGTTTCTCATTAAAGTTAAATTATTTCTTAATATAGAAATGTACTGTAATTCTTTTTGGAACATACTAATAATTAAAGAAAGTATGTCATTTAAATTGAAATAGAGGGAGTACTTTTTATACATATATGTCAAATCTTGAATATTTTTAATAATAAGCGAAATTCCTAGCTTTGTTACCGGTGTATCCTTAAGATTGATGAGCATGAACGTAAATTTCCTCTTTCTCCTTTTAGATTTTTTTCGATGACAGTGCTCGGAACATAGCAAGTGGCAAACAAGCTGGACTGCATACCGTAATTGTAAGCTCTCACTTTCCGGCGATCATATCAAGAGTATAATGAGTAGTTTAAACTTAAATTATTTGTTTTATATAGCGAAAATGGAATAAGAGAGTATACGAATAAAGAAAAAAAATCATGTGCCAATTCAACTTATATATGTTGGCGTTGCGGGATAGCTCATGTGAGCTTCCTGCTGCATGCCTTGTACAATTGAGGTGGAGAGTTCAAACCTCAGCAATAGCTATAGATGAGAATACCCTACCCCAAATTAATGTAATAACAAAAATTAAAGTATTTCTTAGCATGATTATTTTGGTGCAGGTGGGAAGCTCGAGTTTAGTGGCAGGAGCAGATCACGCATTGAGGAGCATACACAACATAAAAGAAGCCATTCCTCATATATGGGAAGAAGATGGAGAATATCCAGATCAGCTTCAAGTTATCCAATCCAATGCCGCAGAATTAACTGTTGTACAAGCATAACGTACTCCATGCATGAATTTCTAGAAAGAAATATTTGCGTGAAATTAAATAAGCCTCCAGTGTGATATATACAACTATAGAAAACAGTTACTCTAATCTACAGCGAGTTTGAGTTTCTTACAAACCAGTATTTGCAGCTCTTTGTACGTAGTATGTATTTCAATACGATATGAAACAATCAAATTACAATTTAACGTTTAAATTAAAGGATCATAATCCTTAGAGTAGGAGAAAGTAAAATAGTTGGCCGTAGCACAAGAATGAATTCCCTTCAACTCCCCCCCAACCATCATATATTACTGACTAACACGATTGCCGATTATTACTGACGCTAATTTTTAGTAATACATATTAATTATATAGGATGTTAATAATACAATTAGGATCTCAGATACTAAGTATTCAACTTTAAAAAAAAATATTTTAATAATCAAATATGTATTCATATTCACACGTTATATCTTAAAAAACAAACGAGGCCTTCGCTTAATAATTTTTAATCTTCAAAACTGAGTTACTTCAAGCTATGCAAACACTATGCCTATGCGTTTGACTTTTGCCTCGTTTTTAAGAAAAAAAAATAAAACAAAACAAAATATGTTGGAACAAAAAAAAATTATATGCTAAAATCAGTGTCCAAACGACCTTACATGCCATACCTTGCTCAGCAACCAGAAGTTTTATTGTGTGTCTCACACAACTGACATTAGTTGTGTGAGACTCCTTTTTCTCTCATAAATTTGTAGACTCCAATCTTACACTTTTGGGACCACAAAAAATTTGGGTCCACAAAATTGTAAGACAAAAAAGATGTCTCATACAACTAGTGTCAGTTGTATGAGATACAAAATAAAATTTTTCCTCAGCAACTCTTATTTTTATGTCAGTAGTACTTGTAGAGTATTCAGAACACGCCAAGTTATCTTCTCAATTATGGATCAAATTCTCGTTACATACTTTTTATAGACAATAATTATTTTACACACTCAACATTTTCGGAGTGTGTCTAATACACACCATTTTGTCCACGTGGCTAGTGCATGTTTTTTCCAACAAGTGAAGCGCGTGAACAGGAGAATTTTTGTGTATATGTCAATTTTTTTTATTTAGTTTTAAAAAAAATTAAATTGGGTCATCTTCTTCCTTGTTTAAAAAATTCACAAATCTGCCATGGCTAGTCCTAAACATTTAGATCCACTTCAGTTGACTTCAATCCTGTTAATAGGTTAAACCATCCTCCATTGACGCCTAAGTTTAAAGAAATACCGAATCTTAATTGAGCTTTCTGGGATGCTTCTTCTGCGGATTTTATTTGGGAATCCAAATTTCCCCCAACTTTGGTGAAGCCTAGACAAAGAAAGGAGGGGCAGCGTGGTATTAAAATCTTCAAAAAGAACACGTTTTGTCTTTTTTTTTTTTTTTCTTCCAAAAAAGGGAGCATTTTGGCCGTTAAATCTTTAGAAGGGACTCTAATGTCATTTTCTCTTCAGCTATCAGTCTATGTTGGGCTAAAAAGGCCTAAAGACACTCTTAAGTTGTGTCAAGCCCGCACGGGTTTCCCCAAAATGCCTCACACCATTAAGAGATACTTATACCTTATATGTAGTCTCCCAATCTTTTCAGCTATCAATGCGGGACTTTGTTCGCACACCCAACAATCTACTTACTGAGAAATTCATTATCGATCCCTCAACTGATTAGCTTTTTCTATCTATAAATTCTTGTCAAGTTTGGAAAGCATGCTTGTTATATCTTGGCTTCTTTTGCATATCCAAGGTTATTTAAAACTCAGTATGTTCTATTTTATGTAATACTTTTTTTTTGTTCCAAAAAGAATGATGTTTTTCTATAACAGAAACAATTTAACTTTAAACTTCTCATTTTATTCAATTTAGTGACAGGCTTCTACATCTATAGAAATATCACGGTATGTTTAAGATCACAAGTTCCACAAAGTCTTTCTTTCTTATTTAAGTTCCGTGCCTACTCAAACACCTTCACTTTCTTATATGATAAACTAGATGAAGTTTGCCCGTGCATAGCACGGGCCCAACTTTTCAAAATACTGATATAGTTTAGGGAATTTGTGCCTTATGTTTAGTTGTATCTGTGATTTAAACTCTAAATAGGATTAGAAGTTTGAACAACCATAATTTTACTAATACAAAAGCACAGTCCATTCTTAGTAAATCGGGACAAATGTTAAAGACCACCTACTACTCAGAACATACATATTCAGAATCTGGGCATTCGAAAACAATAAATCTCACTCCATAAAAATGAAATTAAATTCACGAAGATAAACTATACAAAATAATAGACCAAAGGCACTACTTGTTCATGGCTTGGTTTCTGAAACATCTTCTGCTAGTAAGTAACTACTGTAACTGCATGACTGAGTTACCATTGATAAATAAAGATAAATAGGCAATTCAACTGCTTCATACTATCTTTGTCCATATTATAAGCTTTGATTGTTACTTGGTCTTAGTAAGTATCTTTACTTGCTTCAACTGGTTGGGCAGGGTAAGAAGGTCATAAATTAAGGAAATCTATGGATTTGTAGTATGATAAAAATATCAGAAGCCTCCTGCAAAAGTAAGTAATTTTTTTATCAGCCGTTTAATACAAAGAAGAACTGCACCAATCATCCGTCAATGAAGGGGTATCTTAGAGATAGAATATAGTCCCTGAATAAATGAAATTCTATGACAACCAAGATACTGAACACGCACAATTATGATTATAACAAAACATATCATTGAACATAACACATCAAGGTTGTCATTGGAATCAAACTAATTTGCTTAAATCAGGAGAAATAATTTAATAAATAGCTTGCACAAAAAAAAAAAATAAAGACAACATAAAGTACAAAGTAACTCTTTCTGCAGGCATGTCAGAACCAATTGAAGCATGTGCATAACTACAACATAAAAACAATAAAATAAATAAATTAAAACAAATAACAAGCAATCCAAGATTGGCTATTTTATGGAAGTGCGTGAAGTGATTTAGGTCTTACCATATGTTTAATGATAAACATAAATATATAGAAAACGGTATGCTGAGGGATTGAACAAAAAGAGGTACCAAGATGAATAGTTCATAGCCATTGCCATTCGAAGTGAACGAGGAGGAACTTTAACTCTTAGGCAACTATGGTAAGTAAATTTTGCTCTGAGTTTCGTTCGGTAGTTATAATCTGCAAAAAAAATAAATAGAAGAAGTCGAAAGTAGTCATCACAGAAGCATGTTCTTAATTCATACTTCATATATGTTAAAAGATAACACATATGTGAATGCATGTACATATCCCATTATAAATACACATGAATCATATAATCCTTGTACATTTCATGTACTGAACTACAAGTAGAGCAAACCAAACTATCAAGAACTACAAGTGGCCGAGTGAATTAGTCCCTACCAAATTTGCAAAGACGGTATATTAATCCACTACTTGTACTTTCAGGCAAAATATCTGAATGAAATACAAATTTAAAGAAAATTCCAAGAAAAACTATATTTAAAAAAATGAGAATGAATGGAAACAAATAGCATACGCCGATTTCATATCTAACTACTTGGAACTCTATTTTACGGCATCAATTGATAATACCACCAATGTTGATGTTCCTAAAATGAATCTGCACTCCAATCATGTGACATTTACCCTTGAACTATTCGAAATAGGTCACTTTTATCCTCCATTAAATTTTAGTAGCAATTATACCCCTGCCGTCTATTTTTTGGCCCACGTCTACCCTAATTACTAACAACCCTCCACATCAGATGCCACACATATTTAACTATAATATAATTAATGACGTGTCTATCCACCATGAAAAAAGCTTTCCCTTGATCGGTGGTCTTCTTCTACCTTTTAAAAAACCTTAGTTCATATCTTCAAGACCCATTCCAGAAAGAAATCCATCAAAACTGAATGAACATAAAACTGCAGCAAAACTGCAAAAGAGATTACAACTAAAATGCAAAAAAAAGATTGCAGCAAAATTGCAATTAGACCAAACCTGGACTACAACAAAAACTGGAGAAAAGCGTGGAGCTTTAATATCTTCCGAAACATGTATTCTTTTGAACTGAAAACTTGTGCCTGGCTATAAACCGAGGGAAGTAATTAAGCTCTACTTTTTAATTTCTATGCTAGACTCAATTGACAGTCTTAGGGTTATATTGAATATCGTCAAGCCTTCTATGTTAACTTCATTAAGTGTTTAGATTCTTTCAATCAAACGTCTAACCACCCGTGCAAATATTCATTCTAGTATTACATATTTGTCTTCTGCTGACTTTCAAGTAGAAAGTTACTAGTATAACTTTTTTATAAATTTACAATACAAAATAATGGACTTGAAGAGCATACATTTCAAGAGATACATGTCCCAAAAAGAATATGGTACGTAGTTACTTCACATAAATGAAGAAACGATAACTGCAAAAAGAACCAAATAGATAGCTAAGAACTACAAATCAACCACCATAAGTCACGCTGCAAAATTTTGCATAGGACATCTAATGGTGTATATTATTATAATGAATACCGGTGTCAATACGGTGAGCTTCACATTCAAATGGAAACTGAGTATTATATTGCTTTAGCGTGCCTACTTGTTGATATTAAGAAAGTGTTGAAGCGGAGTAGCATGTTGCTGCTTATAAATTTAGTGACTTGGTATCTAAGTCCATATAAATTTTTGATGAAGAAGAAACCTATGTGGTTAGTCAATGACGCCTTATCAGTTATCATTTCATGGATAAAAAAGAAGCACTTTTACTATACTGATACTAACTCTATAGTTTTAGTTCTTTGCTAGAAAAGGAAGCCTCTTCATCTGAAGTAGACTCATGGCTTGTGAAATCCCTAATAGGTTCTCCAAGTCTATAAATACTTTAATTTGCTTGGTCGATATGGATCACTAAGAAGACATCTTCTAGCATGGTGCATATCCTAAGATTTTATGAACAAAGGATATTTATCATAGTCCTGGACCAGGCAATTATAATATACACATACATGAACTTGTACAAAAGTACTTTTTTCTATTAAAAAGATCCACTCAAGAGGTTGGTAATTTCTTCACATATAGTCAGAAGATCCACCAAAATATGAATGTGTATTTGAAGGGAAGAAATTTTTGTGTTTACTTGATATTGTTAACATGATCTGAATAAGCATGGTACACACGCATCGTTGATAAACCTTGTAAAGTTCAAAACTTTATTTTTTCGTCAAGCTATTATAGACCCTCTAGCTTCTCAGCGGGAAAACTGGAAGAAATATTCCATTATTTTTTAAAATTATTTATTCAAGGATTAAATATCGATATATGTTTATCTATCCTTAAAGATAACAACAATAAGAACTACTCCTCAACTCCAAATAAAAAATGAAGAAATAACTAATAATAAAAATATCTTACTTTATCTTGACCAAAAAAGTCACTTTATAAGATCTAATTGCTCACCTTTTGGTAAGAAGTGTCCTATTATGTCATGCAAACGATCAAACATTCGCAATTTTGTCGAAACATCGGATTACATGAACTATCTTAGCTTGCACTCGTTCTCTTCAAGTCAACCACTGTTAAATTCAAGAAAATTTTAACCTTAACAATGTTGGTAATTAAATCTGAAGTATGATAAAGACTAAAGTTTTTGGGGAAGGGGAAAGAAGATATATAGGGGAATAATATAAAAAGAACGCGCGCTTGTTGCTTCTAAAACCAATATATGATCAAAAAAATGAAAGTTTTACAGTTATAGCAAAATACTCATTATTGACAAATGAGTAACTCTAGTACAACAACATTTATACCCCATTTTGATAAATGCATATAGATTGATGACCTATTGGACCAGTTCAACCTGGAATCCTCAAAATTTGAAGTTCCCAGGCTTTTAGTCCTTTAGTTTATGCACATAGGTCCTTTGAATGTGACTTTATTTCCTAGATTTTAGAAAAAATTTCTAAACCAGCAAGATTGTTTATCAAAGCATATACATGAAATTCTATTCAACTATTTTTTCATTGAACCGACCTTAAAGTTTTACAAAGCCCCAATTCTTAAAGTAACTCATAACTTTAACTATTGGTTCTACATTGGCTTTAAGTCAGTACCTTTAGGTTTGGTGGATTTTCATAGTACTGTCACTTTGTGCTATTTTTCATTATGCTAATACACTGCAACTTCTGATTGGAATGCTTTGTCAAGATTAAGTTTCTAGTGAAGACAAATTTTTATAAACAAAATTTAAGAGAGAGCAGAAGCATATTTATTCGTAGAGCCGGACCAAAAAATTAACATGCCAGTTATTAGCATATTATACATAAGACAAAAATAAAACCACAGTGTGAAAAGAACAAAAAGTAATCTCTGTTTCATTTCACAATACTTATTTAAAATCTTATCATACTTCAATACAAACCGCCTATTTATGAAAAAAAAAACTTCCTTGAAAATAAAACAAATACCAAAAAGAATATATATGCCAGCCTCGAGAATTACTCCAGAGGGAGAGAGAAACAACAAGGTGTTGTTGGGAATACCGAAAGAACAACGTAATAAAATTAGAAAATCAAAAAGACAGTGTTAAGGAAACAACAATGAAGCAAAATAGCGAACAAAGGGCAAAAACCAAAACAGATTCAACAAAGGTAGACCAAAAAGTAGAAAGACTAAAAACAACAAAAAGAAATTTGACCAAAAACTAAATAGAAAATATACCTGGATGAAAAGATGAAGAGAAGAGTTGCTGCTTGTGGGTCTGTTCTTTTCTTTTTTTAGTTAGAGATGAGAATGAAAAATCGGATCCTTCTAGAGTTTTTATTTAACAATTAATGACACAATTACTGTTTTGCCCTTAAAAGAAGCTTGATTTGCAAAGATGCCATTAGTCGACCATCTTCTCTCTTCTATATTATATGATAAAAAAACCAAATACCTTCACATAAAATAAAAAGAAGTATTGTATTTGCTAAACCTTGTCTGATGACTGATTGTTCTGTTCAAGTAACCTGTCAGTTGGTATATAGTTTCTAAACTTGGAAAAGAATCCTAATACGAACATGATTAACTGAATAGCATTTCATCATATCACATTTAGTATACGTTTGCCAAGATACCATTTAACAGGGTTTATGGAAGCTTAATTCTTGCCTTGCGGATTTAGTAACCTTGCTAGCATCTGGTTTATATCGTTGGATATTAGGTTTGGGTCGCGGATCGCCTATGTGAACTGATCCAATCCGTTTTAGAAGAGATTAAATTTAAGGAACTAACGGAGGTTTTATAACTCCTAAAAACTACCGCACATTATTAAGAGATGTGGGACGTGCAGTGGTGGTTTTCATCTGTATTTTTTTCCTCTATTCCTCTTCTATATATCTCCTGCAGAAGAATTCTCAAATGTGTGAAATCTTTCTCTTCTTCACCCAACAAAACACACGTACAAAAGAGGGAAGGCTTTAGTTTGTGAGATAAACTTTGTTTCCTAGTGATTCAAAGTAGATTTGGGGTAATTATCTTCATAGCAATTGCAATAGTTTTCGTTGCGTAACAAGGTACACATAATTTGTTGTTCTTGTTCCTTAATTATATTAACAATGATATCAAGAGCCTTTGAAGTGTGTTCTTATTGAGATGAATACACAATAGATTTAATCAGTGTCAATTTTATTACAGTGTTGATTAATAGAGAGTTTCAATACGTTTGCGATTAGTGCGAAAATCTATCCTTAACGTACTAAAAGATTCAAATTCTCTCGTACTTTAAATTTTGGGAAAAAGAATAGCAAGAGTTATGTAGTAGTCCTTTATATATTAGAATATTGACTATTAAGGGGAACTACTTGGCCCATTCCAAAATAGATTAAATATAAGGTATGCTATATTATCTTCTTGTTGTACAATTTTTGGTATTTTACTGCAGTCAATAATACTTTTGCCCACAATTGTGTTCCGTTATTTGCTTGAGATTTCTCTCTTAGTTAAGTTGCACAAAGATAAACCTAGAAGAGTATGCATCACCTTTTTTTTTATGTAGACATGTTTAAAAAAAGAGAGTTTATGATGCAATAAGAAGAGGAACTTTCTGTAAGATTATGACTTATCTAATATCTTTTGGTTCAATTATTGATAAGAAAAATGCAATTGAAGTTGCCTGCATTGTGCCATCATATTAGTTGGTGTTTATGACTTATGACTTTGTGTTATGCGGAAAAAATGCATGTTGAGAAACAATCTAAAGGCAGACATGAATATTGTATGTGAAGTTTTCTTGAAATTCTTTGGCCAATTAAGATTGAACGAGAGTTTGTTGGTAATATATATTGTTCCTTAGCTTTTAATTTAAAGAAAATTATTTGCAGAGATATAAACTGAAGTTATCTATTTCTCTGTGACTTAGATCATGCGATTGCTAGAGATTTGGCCTTAATAAAACTCGTTGTCTTCTTAATATAAAAAATTAGTTTAGCCATAATCCTTTACATTGATATACTTCTACGAGATATTGTGACATATGTTGTCACATTGAATGGTTGTTGCCATTCTTATTGTTTCTTTGGTCCTATTTCAGATATGGCAGAACAGGGACAAGTTCGAATTACTCCAAGTGGGAGTTCTCAAAATCGAGGAAGGGGACAACATAGAAGGATACGTCGTCGCATTACTTATTTCTATAATGAGACTCGGAGCCTGAAGTCATCAGGAATATCCCAAGGGCGAGGAAAAATGAGTTAAGGGATCAGAGGGCTGAACGAAGGGAAGGAAAAAAGAAATTTAGGGAGTTTAAGGAATTTAAAATGGGCCCTGATGCTTCCATTCCTGAACATGTACATATTTTTAAGCTAAAAAGAGCTTAATTGTCTAATTACATAGAGATTACTGTTTGGGAAGCATTAGCTATTTTAGCGGACTCTCTTCGAGAGCCTTGGGGTAAAGCTTTAACTGAGATTTATCATGATATTTGGCCTAGTGCACCTTTTAGCATATATATGCAAGAGTTAGTGTTCGATTGCTACATGTATGTCATAGCAAACATGTAAATTATTATTATATTTTTTATTTTAATGAAATTTAAATTATGTTGTTTGTCTCACTAGTTATATATATTATTTATAGTTTTATTTTGTAATGGATTGAGACTTGAAATAAAGTACACACTAAGAAGTGATTTTAATATTAATCAAAATATTTAGATATAGATGCTGAAGGAAAACGTAGTGGCCTTTCGATTATATACTAAATATAGAATTAATATTATAATTAATTTGCTTGAGTGCGTAATCATATGCATAAATTAATTGCATTACGTATTGATGAGTTAAACTTGTAATATTGTCTCTAATAACAGAAATGACATATCATTGCTGACTTGAACAAGTGTGATAAATTGAATGGTGAAAATTACAACATCTAGAGTCGTAGGATGTGGTATGTACTCGAAGAGCAAGATGCCCTTGAAAGGATTAACCATATTATAAGTCACCTAGAGGAGGGTAACGCTGCCCAACACAGGAGGGATCTGAAAACTTACAATATTTGGAAAAGAAAGATTCCACTGCATGTGGAATTATTGTAAGTTCAGTTGCTGATGATCTCATCCACGAATGTGAGCAATATTCTACTGCTCAAGCCACGTGGGCACATTTAAGAGAGGCATATGACGGTACAACTGTGACTCGCCTTAGACAACTGACAATCAAGTTTGATACGTATAAGAAGTGTCATGATCACAGTGTCAAGCAACACTTAAGGGTGATGTCAAACATGATTGCTCAACTGAAAAGTGATGGTCATGTTCTATCCGATGAGCAGCAGGTTCAAGCAGTTATCCGGTCTCTTCCCGATAATTGGGAACATTTGAAGGTTAACTTGACCCACAATGATAACATCAAAACTTTTGCTGATGTTGCCCATCATGTAGAGCTTAAAGATGAGCGGCTTGGTGCTGCTAAAGCTGTACCTAGTGCCTTTGTGACAAAATCAGGTGGTACAAAGAGATCAAGCTTCAAGCGCAAGAGAAACTGAAAAAATGACAGAAATGATAAGGAGACCGGAGATGGATCCTCCAAGAAAAGAAATAAGCCAAATTCTAAGAAAGGAAAACGGTTCTACAAGAAGAAAGATAAGACCAAGATGAAGTTCTACAATTGCCAAGTTCCAGGGCATTTTCCTCGTGAGTGCACTAAGCAGAAAAATGTAGTATTTCAAAACGCATCTCTTAGTGCTATATATGTTTCTAACACTGTTTTACTGACTGAATCATATCCGATGTGGATTGTAGACTCAGGGGCCACCAACCATGTGAGCCGTGATAGAGAAGCATTTATAGAGTTTCGAAGAGTTCCTCCTGGATCAAAGCATGTATATATGGAAAATAATGCAAAGCTTGAAGTCAAAGGGATAGGCACTTGCATAATGGACATGCATGGTGGCCGATCTTTGATGTTGTATGACGTCCTATATGTTCTAGAGATTCGACGAAACGTAGTCTCTGTGTCTGTTCTTCTAGATTTAGATTTCAATTTGAATTTTAGTCGTAATGGTCTTAGAATTACTCTAGACATTGTTTTTTATGGTTTTCGACATCGTTATGATGGTTTTATTGTGTTAGATTGTAATCCTTCTACATATAGCTATTATGTTGACAGTTGTGTTATGGTATGTTATTCTAGTAATAATAGTGTTGATGTTATTACATGGCATGCAAGATTAGGTCTCATAGGGCAGGATTGAATGAATAGATTGGCTAAGGAAGGACATTTAGATTCTTTGTCTAAAATTGAAATGCCAACTTGTGAAATTTGTCTTTCCGGAAAGATTACACGTAAACCATTTGGAAAGGCAAAGAGAGCTAACTTTCCATTAGAATTAATCCATTCTGATATCTGTGGTTCAATGAATCTGAGGGCTAGGTCTAGTGCTTTATATTTCATTACGTTCATTGACGATTTCACGCACTTTGGCTATGTCTAATTGATTTCCCATAAATCTAAAGCACTTGAATGCTTTAAGAAATATTTGAATGAAGTTGAGAATCAATTAGAAAAAATTATTAAGACCTTAAGAACCGATATAGGGCGTGAATATCTATCAAAAGAATTTGAAGAATTGTACAGCGAAAAGGGCATCACCAGACAATTAACTATTCCTTACACACCTCAGCAAAATGGTGTAGCAAAAAGGAGGAATAGAACACTATTGGACATGATAAGGTCCATGATGGCGTAGGCAAATTTACCTATCTTCTTTTGGGGAGATGCGTTATTGACTGCAGCCTACATATCGAACGAATTGCCTTCTAAATCAATTTCTTCCACTCTTTATGAGCTTTGGATTGGTCATAAACCAAACTTAAATGATTTACGACCTTGGTTTGTGCTGCATATGTAAAAGATTATTTTAGCAAGTTTGGTAAATTAGGTCCTGACGGTAAGAAATGTATCTGTAGAAGATATTTAAAATACTCCAAAGAGTATGTGTTCATTGGTGAATAAGAGGATGGAAGTGTTACTGAGATTGAATCACCAATATCACATTTCTGGAAAATAATTTTTCAACGAAGGGCGAGGTAAAGAATGGAGAGCCTCTTTATGAAATGTTGAACTCAGATAGTCAGCAAGTGTCTTCTAATACAGTTGACAATCAAATCGATCAAAATCTTGTTCTTGATCCGAGTTGGAGTGGGAGTTCTCAATCCCAAAATCCTTCTGACGAATCTGAATTTCAACTACGAAAGAGTACCAGAAAATATATAGCTAAACTTACTTATGATATTGAAGATTATGTT